AAAATTACACTACTTTGGATTTCAAGTCTTACTCACCAAATGTATACTCGAGAACTTGTTTAATTAATATGTTTGCTATGCAGGGTTTCTGTCAATGGCAAACGCGGGGACTGATACTAACGGTTCGCAGTTTTTCATCACCACTGTGACAACCAGCTGGTAAGAACTCAATCTCATCAGGTCTTAGGATCCGAATATTTTTTGCAGTCGCTTTTAATATCTTGTATTTTTTTCTTCTTTCTGTACCATGTTTTTGTCGGGTCTTAACTTATTACTAAATGTTTGGCATGAATTTACAGGTTGGATGGCCGCCATGTTGTGTTTGGAAAGGTTTTGTCTGGAATGGATGTGGTCTACAAGATGGAGGCTGAAGGTAGGCAGAGCGGGACACCTAAAAGTAAAGTTGTGATTGCAGATAGTGGGGAACTCCCCTTGTAATTGCTTTTCCTCTTTACCTGAAATGGGGGTATCTGTTTCTTTATATATTTAGAAATGTAGACTTACAAAGCGGCATCAACTTTCATTATCTTGCTATAATGGTGAGCTCGATTGTCTCTTGGAACTTTTATAGGAAGGATGAGTTCATTATCAGACTAAATCTGTCTTCTTCTTTTTTTCGTGGGGTATCATACATATATATATATTTTTTTATCATTTGCAGAAGTTAAATAGCACCTACTCTCTCTCTCTCTCTCTCTCTCTCTCTCTCTCTCTCGCGTGTGTGTGTGTAGTATCACTTTATGTTGCCGTAGACAGGAGAAATATTAAGGAAGATCCATAATATAAATAAAGTATAAATGGACTTCAAACTAGTGAAACAATTAGTTCATTGTCACATAGCTCGTATGTGGTCACTGTTCGCCCCGAGGAGCTTTAACCGTCCCATCACATACTCAAAATCGCTACAGTGAAATTTACTCTGCTATTACCCCCACTAATCAAGACGAATTAATAGTTCAGTGGTAATTTTAATTTCTATTTTTGCATGTGTGCTTATTCACCCTGCTATTAAGTATTAATTACTAAGGCGAATAATAGTTCAGTAATTTTTAATTTTGAATTTTGCATGTGTGCTTATGGCTTATACAGCAACATTTGAAAGTACTTTTTATTCGTTTGAATGAATTTATGGATCACCTTAGTGGATATATACAATTAATATATGATATTTTCTGGTTCTAAATTGAAAAGAAAGCAATTTATTTTTAACATTTACCAAGCTTTTTTAAACATGAAAAAGAACTGTCAAAACTTAAAATATCTAATACGGTTTTACTATGAAGTCAACCTTCTATATATAACAAATAAACTTACCATATTAATAAAATTATATTAATGTTATTTAAGTAATCAGAGAATATGATAGGTTTATTTGTTGTATATAGAAGGTTGGCTCCACTATGGAGCCAACTGTTGGCTTCATAACAAAACCGATATCTAATAAGCTAAGCTCAAGCTCAAGTCCTACTTAAAACTATCAATAGCTCAGTCTACCTGGGAGTTTCAACCCTTATTAAGCAGATCAACAGCTAAAAATAGCCAACTGCAACATTCTAAACTTGAATGGACACAAATAGTGAAGTACTTAAAGAACAATCAATAGCTCTGCCTCTGACATTCAAATCTTCTCGGTGAAATAAAGACGGCGCCTTGTCAAAGTTGTAATTCATATACATAGGAATTACGATCGCCTCAGTGAGTAATGAAAAAATCAACATATCAAACTTCATCTTTTTCTCTGCCTTTAACAAGAGATTTATGCTCTTGAGATATAAAGTATGAACTGCAAATTTATTTATCAGTATCTATGAATGAGAGTTGAACTTTAACCAGCTCTGAGAGAAGGAAGCTCATCAATCACGGCCCACCGGCTTCCGTTGTACTCTGGTTACAGCTCAGCACTACATTGCAATAAAAATCCGAAAAACCTTAATTGAAAAAGACAATATGGTATTTTTAAATTTATGCCTATGTACCGACTACTACTGCATTTATTTATTTATTTTCTCTGTGCACATATTGTTACATCTAAAAAGACGAAAAAAAGTGGTATCTTACATGAATCAATTCGTTAATAATGAATCTGCCTAAACAAATTGATTCATGTCTCTCTTAGAGCTTCAAACTCTCCAAGACAGGATACTTGTGATCTAGCAATTCTCAGAATGAATCTCAATGGACAACCTGTGTAAGAGCATTTTGTTGTGGTATTCTAAAATTCTATGACCAACTTTAAGAACATTTCAAATTATATGATAGAACAAACAATTGTGCACCATGAGAATAGAGATAATTACATCCCACATAAGACTAGTTGATGACACACACCCTATCAGTACATCTTTCACAAGCTGTTTTTCAAAATCAACCTCTCCATAGAAGAGTCAAATCAAATCTACATTTCTCATGTCTAGCTCTCTTGGCCATTCATTAAAATAACCTCATTTATATACATCACATATATTTAGATAACTTGCAGCTGCATATATACATAACCACTAATGATTTCCAGAAACCAGATATGTCTAAATGTTTCTGTTGATTATATCAAACCACTCTATCCAAAATATGTCTAAATGTTTCTGTCGATTATATCACACTACTCATCCAAAATAGACATATTCAAAAGTCCTCAACCAGTTTCACAGCCAAATTAATTGAGCTAGGAATTTCCATTTCATTCTCAAAACCTGAATTTATATTACCATCTCCCCTCACATTTCCATCAAAAGTAGTGTTTTCATACCAAAAACAGTTCCAACTATACAGATGTGTCGGCCTGATTTATCATTTCACCTTAAGGCAAGGCATAGCTAAATAAAACAATAAATTTACCTCAAAATTTCCTCTGCTGGGGCACCACTCAATATAAGCAGCTAAGAAGCCCCACAGCTCATCATTGAATCATCAATCCTCTATAAGANCAGACCCATAAGTACCATACTACCATCACATAACCGCAATCAAACATTCGAAGTCACCATGACAGGAAACAGAAAGCACACAGACTCCATGCCCGCCAGTTCATCAAATACTGACTCACAGTCACAGACCACACCAAATTTTATTTCAAATACTGACTCACAGTCACAGAAAACACCAAATTTTATTTCAACATCAAGGCAGTAAAGAAGTAGATCAAATTTACAGGATAATCGACGGTACTTCAAGATCGGGCATCCCTAGCGGCTTTGTCCTGCAAGGCACGCTGTTCGTGAACAATGCCGGAGAATTTCTCAGAGAGATCGGAGTAAAGGCGGACGACTCTGGATATATTGGCACTGATCTCACGAATCAAATCGACATTCTTGGCCAGATTGTTGGGGATTTTGGACATGTGATTGTCGTTCGCCAGTTGGATCAGGCGGCGGTTGCGATCGAGCACCGATTGGACCTCCCTGAAGCTATTGCGTAGGGTTTCCCATGCTTCCAAGTCACGTGGCTCCTCGCCGTCTGCTTCTTCATCGCCGTCCGTATCCTCGTGTAAGCTGCGAGCGGCGGCGGCGGTGGTTAGGGTTTGCCGAGTATTGTCCATAGTAGTGGCTTGATCTAGGAATTGGGCTTGGCTCAATTTTCATTTGGTTTCCATTGTGAAGGGGTAATCGGAAAATTGAAATGATCCGTTGAAATAGGCGGCGAACATCAATGGATTGGCGGTTATATATTTATATAATCAACGATATATATATATTTTTTGTCATAAAACTAGAAAGTGTCAAAATATTAATTAGCCATTTAATTTTGTTTAAAAAGTGATGCACAAAATAAAAGTAGTCTCAATATGGTAACATATATTAGCCACTCTCTTCATTTTCACTATAAGCGTTTTGTAATTTTAAAGTACTTAAAGAACAAAATGAAATTTTATTCATTACTCAAAATCATACATTACTCATAAAAAATTACTAAACATAGACACAAAGTTACAACACACAATAAATATTAGAAAGCTCTATATTTATATACAAAGTAATAAAAATTCTACCAAAGAAAAAAAAGAATACTTTGAGCACAAGCAAAAAGACAAGTTTACCCCCTTCTAACTCACCTTGTCCCAAAACGAGTTTTTTTTGTTTAACCAAAATTATCAACAAATGATGTATTAACACGTGTCCTGCAATAAATACACATTAAACACTTGTCAATACATAAAGTTAGGATGGCTTCATAAGAGAACCATCCGATGGCTCCATAACATTTTTGATGAAAATAGTAGAGTTGAAATAAATTTGAGTTAGATTTTAAGTATGAATTGAAATAATTTATAAACAAACACACATATAGTTTTTTTTCACCTAATGTTATTTTCTCATAAACTCAAACAAGACAATCAGAAAAACACTGAAACACCTAATGTTATTTTCTCATAAACTCAAACAAGACGAGCCAAAAAAAAACTGAAAGCGTCCACTTGGACCTGTGACAAGTTAAACATGCATATGATTACATGTAATAACGTTAACACGTGACAATCTCACGAGTAAAATATACAAGACAACATGGTTCTAATTTGTGTTACCTCCATAATATGAAATCTACCTCAACGAGACAAATGCTCATTCTCTAAGATATACAATAATCTTCAGCTGATGAAATTTCTTGGTAACAAATCCTTGCAAGGCTAAAAAATGGCTAAATCATACGATGCAATTGGTCAATCACTGTCGCTACCAGAATCTAGGAAGCTAAAATTGGTCTGTCCCTCGAGTTTTATGAGCAGTGTTCCTCTGTTCTCTTCAGACCATTTAATGCCTTCTTTCTTCAGAAGATCAATCACCTGCTCATGCAACAAAACAGACATGATGATACTAAAAATAATAGTTAGCTTTGGGCACGTATGAGCGTGAAAGAAAGAGTGGATAATTCTTTTGCTTACCAACCATTTATTTTTTATAATCATGATGTAAAATGTCTTGGCATGAAAATCTTTTATTATTTTGATTATAAAAGGAAAATAACAGAGAGAAAGGGAGAGAGAGTAGTGATCAATACCGAGTTTTGCTATGGAGCCATCGGATGGCTCGACTTATGGAGCCATCCACACTTATTCACCAATAGTGTATTGACACGTGTTCTATAATAAATACAATTTGGACAAGTGTCAATACATTAAGTGGTGGATGACTCCATAAAAAAAATCATCCGATGGTTCCATAGAATTTTTGTCTCCAATATTATCAATATAATTAAATAATACCAACCAATCATTCTTACACATTACATCAACTTTAATTCACTATTCAATATTCATTCACTCACATAATTTATTTAACTATCACTTCATATCATTTCTCTCCTACTTTTACATCAAATCAATTTTAATTATTTATTTTAAATATTACTTTAATATAAACTCAAAATCCCACTAACTAACCATACCACTTTTATTAACTCTGGTTAATAAAAAAACTCGTTTTGAGCGGATATATTTATATACAAGCACGCCCTTGGATGAATCTATATATATATACATATATAGGGGCTGGTTCAAATAAAAACCAACCCTGGTGTGAGAACCGTGAGAACTATATTTGATGCTATTTTTAATTGTGTATGATGCTATTTTTAATATTACATGATGCTATCATTTTTACAAATGTTAATATAAATTGTCTTGCTATTTTTAACAAAATATATCTTTGTTAAAAATAGCACAAAAACACACTAAATCATAGCACTTCATACAATTAAAAATAGCGGTTCTCACGCTAGAACTTGGTTCTCATTTGAACCACATCCGATATATATATATATATATATCTGGAGGAATTTTCACAAGGAAAAAACATTTCAGTCTTACCGAGTTTTTCAGCTTGGACTTGCCAACACCATGGCTCCCACATCCAGTTATAACCCTGAATGACCTCACAGCTAGAGTAGTAGCAGGGCAAAAAGGAGGAGGAAAAACACATGTAAATTCTTCAAAAACATTGAAATGGAGATTCGTGGTTTAAACACGGAGTAGATGCCTTACATCGCACACATGCTCCAAAGAGAAGGTGGAGCTTCAAAAGTTTCATTCCCGGTTTAATATGTTGCCCATGCAGATCGATAGTTATCATGTTTTCGATACTCTTGTTTCTGCATATCAAGAGATATGTGAGGGATAAAATAACATGGTGACCAGATTTGTCTTTGATTGATTCTCAATATGTAGGCCCCACCTAGCAGTAAATATATCCTGACTAGCCTTTTCGTCTGCCTCTCGAGCCATTTTGTTTTGTAATCTTCCCTGCAGCAAAACACAAAGATTAATATTTACCAATGTCTTATGTTCAGCCACACCGGGAAAGGCCAGTATCAGAACTTCATGATAAATAAATAATTTAATTTTCTGCATTGGAACTTTTGAGACTAGGAACATCGATAAGTGAGTAAGCTGAAAGAAGATGCTTGACCTGATCTTTATATCTTAAATACTTCCATTAACTTTTTGTGTCCAGTGTCCACAGACTGAATTGGATTTCATTTTTGGAGTCTTATTATCGAGTGATATTTATTTTTGGGATTCTTATTGTCGAGTGATATATTTCTCCATATCCTTCACTTTCACCCAACATCTTATCCAATGTTGCAACCCAAATCATAACGTAATCAGAAAAGGTAAAGAGTTTGTAATTTCAAACTTCTTATAGATGGTAAACAAAATTAGGCCAGGTAAGGCATAAATACAATAACAACAATAGAGGATAAGATTTATATAAAGAAGGTTTTTATAGTATAAGATAAATTAACAAAGCATAATGAACGGCACTTTTTTTAATCAATCTTCTGAGTAAAAAAAATCAAATTTTCCTATAAATACCTGATCAGAAAGATATGATGCAAATTCCTTTTCCCCACTTGTAAATGCTGTCACAGCCTGCAGAAAAGTCAACCTTCTTAAACATATAAGATCCTGAGTGAGATCCTGAGTGAGAACTGCAGAAAAAGTCAACCTTCTGATAGTATGATTTCATTGAATTCCAGTGTTGCTGGGCAGATTCTCTGAGTACACGATACTCATCTCCTTTAGCTACAGGTTAACAGAAGCTAACTGAATATTGAGGTAAATATGATACATCATTGCAATGCATAAAATTGGGATGAGTGGGAAGAAAGACATTAATTAGCAACAGCTATACAATAATGGAGTTGCATCACTGGTTCTCGATCATTTTCTCTCAAATATTATTTCTTTTTTAGTTTTAAAAAGAAATGGTCTTTTAATTACAATGCACAGCATAATAAAATCTTATTCCTGCATAAATTACCGAATGAAATACAAGTTCCGAATCAAACTGACACATAATTATAATGCATCAAGATAGAAATCAGCACAACCAAAGTTTTCACAAAGGAAAATCAACCCAGAAAACAAAAATCAGACGTTTTTTTTCAGTACCATTGATAAGCTGCTGCTGTTGTTCACTGTCTTGAGGCGGAATTCTTTGACCAAGGGATGTCATTTTCTTAACAACATTTCTCCAGTTCATTGCAGTGGGTTCATGTTCGGCAGTCTTTGGAGTGGGCATATTAAACAAAGATTCCAACACTTTCTGAGGAAGTTCTGAAACCATGCTTCCTGTCTCAGTTGAATTGTGGTTTTCATGGGATTCGGAAATATTTGAAAGATTCCTGAAGCAATGAAAATGATTTACTTATTTAAACTCCAAGTCGTACTTGGATGATACAGAACCAACTAGTCCTAAATTTTACAGCTTGTAAATATCATTTTCTTCATGGTTAAACAACTTTCGGTTCACTCAAGATCAATTGCACTTCAAGTTCAGATTCTTTCTTAACGTTATTATAGTAAGCATATTAGTATTTGTAATTCTAACAAAAGGTAGTAAAGGGAAGTACGGAGAACTTTTTAATAAGAGCAGCTCTTTTCTTCTAATGCATTTGCCTACTGGTCATAAAGTTTCACTAAAACCACATGGGAAGAAGATAAATTTGAAAGAAAAAAAAAATAGTCAAATGAACAGCCAAATAGATACATTACAGTCTTATTTCTGCAATTTAGAACCCGTATATGAGCTGAAAAAAACTAGTAAACAAAAGAAAACTCCTTGAAGAGAAGTAATTTAAACAGAAATATTTTCAAGGTCAATTCTATGCTAATATTTCAAACCATTAATAAACCTGGTTACTATAATCAATATGATCATCAGGAACATTATTTACACAAATGCTATACATAAAGTAACATCATAGAAACTCATAACCAAACAATATCGCTATGTTTTCTTTTTCAAATTCCAATTCTGCTTTGTCAACATTAAGCTGTGAACCAGACCATATAAAAGTCAAAACTAACCAGTCAATATAAATGAAAAGTAACAAAAATGAACCTCAGGTTTAGAACTTCATCTTCTGGATAAAAAAAAATATTGTCAAAAAAATTGTTCCAGTACAGGGATCCTCAGCAAACAAGATAAAACAAATAGCCCTAAACTTCAGTTCAAGCCTCAACATGCAGCCATAAACACAAATCTATCTCATACCTTCTCTAAAAATTCCTCCCTATCATCAAAGATTCAGCCATTTTTACCCAACCGAATGAACAAAAAGCATGCACAATCCCCAAGTGGTATATCATGGACATGCAACAACATTCACCCATGATGAGTATATAACAGATGATATTCAGCATCGATCTCTTGCATATGCACATTCATCACATGCTGAGATGAAAATGCAATTGATGAGGGATAAGCATTAGAATTAAGAACTGTATGAAAAGTACACATATAAATACATCCATGGAAAGAAGTAAAAACAATTGAAAGATCAGCAACAAGAGAGCTGCATTACCTGAAAAGGTTTCCTGTCGACCAGATATTGTTGGTTGAGTCAGATGTTCTATTGACTAGCTGCAATGCAAAAATACACTAACATGAAATTAAAAATAAAAAATCCATTTTATTGATTTACATTTCATATTTTCTCCATGAAACAAAAATAAGAAAAGAGAACGGACTGAAAGAGGTTAATGATGGCTATAAATTTCCTTAAAAAAAAATTCAAGGCGCAGGTTCAGATATTCACTTAATATAGGAGAATTGCAACCACACAAGGTGTATTGAAAATAGATCATGCCAAGCAAACGTGGTAATGATAAATAGATCAAGCTCTTGGAGGTCTTTGAGGGAATGACATGGAATAAAAAACTAAAAATTCAGGCTTGACGACAGGGAAAAAAAATATTTATGCAATGCAATCTCTACGAAGCTTTGCAGATAATTAGTGTGAAATGTGACAAAGTGCAATGAAAATAGAAGTAAAGAGGATTCATGGTTCCAAAAGAAAAATACATTCTTGGAGTGGCAGCTCGGGGATGTTCCATCACCCATGTATATATTGATGGAAAGAACATACAAATAGTAATTCAAAGTACCATATAACAGGAAAAGGAAGGAAAAAATGTATAATTCAATTAGAAGAGGATACACAACCAAACAATGAAGAAGGGTACTCAAATAAAGTCAAAGAGGAGCCAAATGACACTTCAAGGTCAAACATATGAGCTGGTAGCAATGCGGAATGAAAAGATAATACTCTGTTCCCTCATGTGATATCAACTCAAAAGGCAAGAGATGCCACAATGTGTTTTGATGTTCCAGCCACTTCGGGTTCCCAGAGAAAACATGCCACAATGTTTAAGTTACCTAAGCATATCTTCCTACTCCATGCAATATAACTAGGTATACTAGAGCAACATACAAGAAACTCAAAATCAATAGCGAAAAATAATTACAAGAAAAATAAGACCATCAAATGTAGCATACATCATTGCTTGATTCAAGAAGGTGCTGATCTTCTCCGTTAGAAGACTCGTAGTAGCTAATGGCTTGCTCCCTTGAAGATGTTGACATTTCAAGCAATACATCTAACGCCTGAAAATGAAAACACCAAAGTTCAACATAGACATGTATATATGCTTCCTTCCTAACATCCTTNATAGCATTTTCTCTATGATGCAACAACCATGTCAGGAAATAGAGAGAAATGAAGAAAGTGGAAAGTGGAAAACAAGGTTTACTCTTAAAATATAAAATATGCCAGGACAAAATAAGACGTGTATAACTTGGGATACTCGAGACAACCAGAAATGCAAACCCACCTCAGAACATGAAAACCACCAGTCTTGATCATTTCTCATCATTGCTACTCCAAAATCCAAAGGTTATCATTAAAGATAAGCCAAGATCTAAATTTTAACCCAAACATCAACCAAGGAAATCCCCAAACTATAACCAAAAATATCTTAACCACCTACAAATGAACATTGACATGAATTTAAAGGTATTTCCGTCTTTTGTTCCAGAATGCGTGCCATTTAATTTGATGGAGGTTTTATCAGACAAAAATGAGTAAAATAGCGACATAAACACATTTATTTTTATAACATGCGCGTTTGTGGTGAAAAGAGAAAGAGAAATTCACGATCTTACCTTATCAATGTTATATCCACACTGACCTGCAAAGATTGAAGATAAATTTACAGGTCACGCACTATCAAGACTACCAACATGAAGAATTTAATATAAATTTCTCATTCATAACTTCTGTAATACACATCTTGTTAGAGGATGCCAAACTTTTTATTACATGGTTCATCAAGGTCTACATGAGTAACTCCATATCATAATAAAGCAACTTACACACGAATGTCAAAACAGTCGTAAGAAGTGACTTAGGAAAAATACCAACACTATAATAGTGCATGTGTTCACAGCTTTTGAACAGGCATACTATAACCTTACAGCTTTGTTGTATGGTCAGATAGATACCTCAACACTCAACAACTCAGTGTTTTGAGCAAATTTATATAAAAAAGATCCATATATCATGAGCCCAACTCTCAAACACTTCACATTAGGATATTATAATTTATTTATTTTTATTACAGAACATCTCCAAGGTAGAAAGATATTCAATAATAAAGGTTGAGAAAGACATGCGCTGAAACGAAAACAAAAAAGATAGCAAGGTAACTCACTTAGTACATCACTAACTACAGCCAAACTTAATTCACTATCATCTCCAAGCATCGAACACAAGAACTGTTCAGCTTCATCCTTGCACCATCTCTCCTCGTGAAACCCATTCAACTTAGAGGAGCCCTTCTTTGGGATAGACCTCACATAATCTTTTCCCAACACTGTTGACACAGTGCCTGCAGAAGCAATAACCTTCTTTGATTTGGGTTTACCCTTCTGCTTAAACCCATCTTGAACAAAATTACTTGGATCACCTAACACCTCCGATACAGTGGAGCTAGAGCTCGAACCCACATCACAATACCCACTAGAACTTGAGCACGTGGTGATCTGATCGGGTTCCTGTGCCACACTCTTTGTGAGGATAATTTCTGCAGCCTTGTTCGGGTCGCTGTTAGCTTCTGCATAAGCCAAAGCAGCTTCCTTCACCGACACAGAACCAAAAGCATCTACCAAATGTTTCAGAACCCTTTGTTCATTGTCATCACCATTTTTCGGATGATTTTCAGCATTGCCGGTTTTGGAAACCCTTGATCTCTTCTTCTTCTTCGGTTGCTTCGTCATTCGGATTTATGCCTTACAGATGCATACAACTATAGACCAAGTTCACCTCTCTGAAGAAAACAACAGATGTTATGAACATTTGAATGAAATCAAGAGAACAACAAAAAAACGGCAAATGTTAGAAGAAACCTCTTTTTGACAGCAGATGAACAAACTCGGGTCAATATCTGAAAGCCGACTGCAACTTTAAAATTAAAAATGAAACCCTTTCAAACTAGAGAAAAGTTGAGCAGGCAACCACGAAAATCAGGGGTTCAAAGCCGAGGGAAAAAATCAATTAAAAACAACTATAGACCAAGTTCACCTCTCTAAAACAACAGCAGATGTTATGAACATTTGAAATCACGAGTACAACAACAAAACGGCAAATCTTAGAAGAAACCTCTTTTTGACAGCAAATGAACAAACTCAGGTCAATATCTGAAAGCCGACTGCAACTATAAAATTAAAAATGAAACCCTTTCAAACTAGAGAAAAGTTGAGCAGGCAACCACGAAAATCAGGGGTTCAAAATCGGGAAAAATAAATAAAAAACGATAAAATGAAATGGAGACAGAATGCAAAGTTCCTAATACTGAAAAAAAGCAGTCGGGATTCTGGGTTTCAATTTTTGGGAAGAGAAAAAAAGTAAACGACAAAAGAGAAATCCCTAATCATATGATATGGAGTGAATGAGCTCCCCAAAAGAACAATTTTCATTTTATTTCGCTTTCAACCTGCTAAAGAAAAATTTTGAAAGTAATTTTTGTGGCCGAAGGGTAAATTTGATGTGTGGACCATTTTTATTCATTATTTTCCTAATAATACCCATGGCCAATAGTATTTTTCTAGTCATAGCCACGGTCCGGAATAAACCCGGCCAACCGGCCCGCACCTTGACCACGATTCGTAAACCAGCCAGGCATTTGGTTTGGTTCAGTCCGATTCCGGCTTATGTTTTTACAAAAAAAAAAAAATTGAACGGTCGATTTCGGCTCCTCGGGCAGTTCAAAGCCAAAAGTTTAATTTAAAATATAAATTTTAAATTATAAAAAAATATGTTTTAACAACATACCAATAATTTATATATATAAATATAGGGGCGGATCAAATGCGCTCAGCTCTTAAAATGCGCCTAGCTCTTAAAATGCGGACAGTTCTTAACAACTACATATAGAGATGTTAAACGGGCTAGCCCTAGCGGTTTCGGACTAGCCCTAGCGGGCTTCGAGCTAAACGGCTCGGGCCTAAAAAGCCAGGATCTAAACGGGCTACCAAAAAAATGACCTAACTCTAAACCTAGCGGGCTTCGGGCTAAACGAGCTATACGGGCTATAACAATAACAACAATAACAACAACAACAACAATAATAATAATAATAATAATAATAATAATAAATTACAACACCTAGTTAACGGTTTTTTTCAACGGTTATTTACTATTTACCACTATATATATACAACTACACTTCATATATGAACACACATTACAAACTCTTAAATAACATATTGTTTCTGAATAGAAAAAAAAAAATGTTCGAACTATTACTTATAACTACCATTTGACTAGTTATTTGATACATTTCGGGAATTTTCACAATATAACATATTGGTGAATTTATATTCTATCACTATATTTTATGTGTTAGATTTTTGTCTCATTTGTTTTTTATTAGCTGTTCTGATTGACTTAAATATTTTGCTGTGAAATAGAATAAAATTTGTTAATAATTATCTATCAAAATAATAATAATAATACATTATAACTCATAATTACATGTGAAGTAGAATAGCAAACTTGTAATATACAAGGATGAGACATATTACTTACCTTTCTAAAAACATATACACCACCTAGCCCAAGTTAAACGGGCTAGCCCTAGCAGTTTTCGGGCTAGTCCTAACGGGCTTCGGGATAAACGGTTCGGGCCTAAAAAGTCCGGATTTAAACGGGCTGGCAATAAAAGGCCCTAACCCTGTTTTTTTTCGGGCTAAACGGGCCGGCCCGTCGGGCCAATGACCATTTAACATCTCTAACTACAGATAACTAATTTAGCAACTACAGAGAACTAACCTAGCAACTACAGAGAACTAACCTAGCAACTACAAAGAACTACTCTAGCAACTACTAACCTAGTAACTACAGATAACTAACCTAGCAACTATATACAACTAACCTAGCAACTACAGAGAACTAACCTAGCAACTAGAGAGAACTAACCTAGCAACTACAGAGAACTAACCTAGCAACTACAGACAACTAACCTAGCAACTACAGAGAACTAGCCTAACAACTACATAGAACTAACCTAGTAACTACATAGAACTAACCTAGTTGGAAGGTTAATTGTCAACAGTCAACGTTGAAAGTCAACGGTCAACATCGGAAGTCAACGGTCAACGCCGGAAGTCAATGGATTTCGCCAGAAGTCAACGGTCAACGCCGGAGTCAACGGGTCAAAATAATATTTAAATAATTAAAATAATAATAAAAAAAGAGTAAATCTTGGCAACACATGATGTACCAAATCTTGTGCTAAAAATGAGTCTCACGTCCACAAGTGGATGTATTGGAATCAATCCTTATAAATATATATGATTTATTTAATGTGTATATATATACTTATATATATAAACACATTATTTTCTAGATAAACATTGATATTTTCGGGCAATACTATAATTTAATTAATGTTGATACGTTTTAAATTAAGTTTTCCATAGACGAATCACATTTCTCTACATGATAAATTAATATAATCACTTGATAATATTGAAATAATGCGTTATTAAATATGGAACTGTCCAAATATAACTTGATTAGTATTATTCATATCGAAATCCTTAAATTTATAGGAATATCAATTTTTACATAACAAACTTTTAGAATTGATTCCTAAATGAAGGTCATTAATATTTCTAAATTTGGTTGAAAAGTTTAGACGGAAAAAAATATATACTAACTTTAGCAAAATGAATTGATCCATTATATAAATATAGATAGATCTCAAAAAATCAGCCAAAATCTTAAAAAAGATTTTTCCCAAAGTTGTCCCGACCAGCTGTCTGCGCGTGCCTCGTGAGACATTCTCGCGACATTCTCACCGTTTCTTTAAATAATTCTGCATTCAAAACATCTTAATATGACAGGGAATTTGAGCAATCGATTTCTTCATTTGAAGATACTCTAGTAATATCATTTTCCCACAAATGCTTCCAATTTTGATCTATTGCAATATTAATACATTCCACTTTACAGTTTCATCACAATATCACAGTGTGAATCGGTCCAAACCGTTAAACAATATACTGTCTAGTTATATTTCCAATTTTGTACTTTTTCATTGTGATTTTAGGATTCACCTGAAGTCATTAAGTTCTTTTCCTATGTAGTCATAGTCTATTTGAACGATGCATTCATTTATGTTCCTTTCCCATGTATCCATCCCATCCCCAATTTGAATGACATGGGTTCTCCACGTGTTTTCCATCGAAGATAAAATGACAATATTTTTCAAAATCATAGTCCACCCAACTAAGGAACTTCAAGCAATTAACATGAACTTTAATTTGTTTTCTTGTTCCTCTGTAATTTAATTTNTCCAAGTATGATTCAATGAACTTTGGCTGGTTCCATCTGATCATAGATGCCTTCATCTCGTCCAAATAAAAATATTGTGATCCAAATATTGAGAAAATTATCACCCATGTTTTCATTTTAAAAAGTAAGTAAATCCTTTCAAGGGGCTATAGCAATTGTAAGTTCACAAAAGTACCAAGTTTTTACTATCATGCTATCGTATAACTGTAACTTGGCCACGAGGGCTAAAATCAATCCAGCAAAACAGTATTAGCAATCCAATACCTTTATCTCTCTGCATAAATTGAGCAGGAAAATACAAGTCCTCATATGCTCCTTCAGATGCAATCCTCTTTTCACTAACCTTTTTCCAGAACAAAATTGATTGGATAAATCCAAAAAGATGACAACAATCTTCAAAGGGGCTGCTCTATTCATAATTCAGATGCACAACATATGGGAAGGAATAAAGGCATCCAGACAAAATTGGGATACATACAATATCCAAAAAAAGAAGTTAACATTGTTTTACCTGAGATAATAAATTACAAAATTACCAAGTTAAACAACTTACCACACACCTCGTCTCAGTAACACTAGTTTTTTACGGACAACTCTCGAATCCCATGACAGAAAAATGCTTTTCTGCAGCATCTAATTTGCGTTACATGCTAAACAGCAACACTGCACTCTTACATTGAAAGCCTACAAAAATTACCAGCAGACTAGATTTCTTGAAATCAACTTATTGTGGACTTGCGCACATACGGGCAATTCTCCTCCCTTGTCTCAGACTCTACTATCTCACTTCCCCATTTTTGTCTTTTGTTCTCTTTATTTTGTTTCCCCTCTTT